CACATTTGACAGTTAAAGCGAATTGGAATAATCACGACAAAGTCTGAAAAGGCGAAGTTTTTTTAATGACGTTTTCGCTGCCGTCGCCCTCGTCGTTGCTTAAGTTCCTACTCTTACCCATCTAAAGTGTACCCACCCCCCAAACTCACCTCAAGATCTTCCTTCAACGTATTTTCTCCTTGTTGGCATCGCTTTTGCGTACAGCTGACACGAACCTAAAGACAGGGGGGAAACCAAAATGAAATATCCCAGCATTGCACATTCCACGACCTTAGTACGTTTAAAACTTTTCCACCTACATTTTTTTGTTTTAGTTTGTTTACTTGTTGTTGATTTTTTCCTATTTCGCACAACGTTAAAATTTATCACAGCTTTTCCGCAATCTTTGCAAGAAGTAGCAGCCGCATAAAGAGAGGAATATCGCCAAGAAATCGCCGCAAAAGTCGCACGAAAAATCGCCCGGGTAAACAAGCAGCACACTTTTCTTAGTAATAAATAAAATAAATAAAAAATAAAGTGTCTTTATTGTTCAAAAGATAAAATTACATATCTTATGTTACATTTAAATATAACAATGTTAATGGGCTAAAGTATGTCTCTAAATAAGATTAGTATATACATAGAAAGAAATACAAAAATCGAATACAGAAAGTACACTATTTAAAAAAGCTATTCATTATAAAAAGCTTGAAGACAATTCTTTTAAAGAATGTAAATGGTCCATCGGTCCCAAAACAGCATGGCTGGCATTGCGGCAAACGTTTATTCCTTTAAAGGGGTATTTTCAATTTAGTCTTTGGACAAAGCTAAAACCTTTTTTTTGTTAGGCAACTGAATTCCAAACCAAGAAACCACAACTTTGTTCAGTGTTAAGCCTGTGTTTAGACCCCCCAACTTTTTGCTGTCGTTTTTGTTATCAACTGAATTCCAAACCGTGAATGGTCCAATTTTGTTATTTAAGACATGCCTGAAAAATCACCACAATTTGGACTACCCCTCCCCTGAGTCAACAATTGGCCCTAAGTGAAAAGTAAATGTTTAAGTTGGCTTAAGGGAGGGGTAGGTGGGCAGTTTTTGATACCTCATTCCTAATTCTACAGGAGCATTTTGTTTATGGGTAAATACACCCAATAATGACTTCAGCCCACTTTAACAATACCTCTGCATCTTTCTTGATGTATTTTCCTTCCATGCTGGTTTTAGCTTTCATTTCTTGAAGCTGATCCTTGAGGTGAGCAATCATTTCATTTCGTTGCTGCAACGTGATTAAAAAAATTAGTTAAAACATCATTTCAAAGGCTTAGGGCAGAGAAAAATGCAAGTCTCCAACCCACGTTTGTGACATGGCCAGTACCGCATCTTCCTTTCCTTGTTTTATTATATTTGCTGCTTTAAACACAGATGGCCCAAGCGCGGAATATCATCATCAGCACTGATGCATACCGTTCAAAATACAAGGGTTTGCACAGTGAAAAAACGATTGTTTCTGTAGCCTACAAATATGAAAAGATTTAGATAAAAAGTTTAAGTTGTGTGATGGTCATATGTCCAGCTTGGGTCACCTGTGCTTTTAAAATATTAATTCTTCTTGCTACTTATGTCTGGATCATAACATGTGACGAACTTCACGCTCATGAGCAAAATCTTCTTTTTTCAGTTTTTCTAGCATGTGAGAAAGCTCTCCTATTAGGGCAAGCAGAGCAAGCTGCGAGGGGTGTATCCTTTCGCTTGTTGCTCTGTGTGACTTCTCATCACTCCCCCAGAGGGACAGCTTGCTCATAGGCTAATAGCATTAGGTCCATCACACATGAAGTTTGACTTTTGACCTTGGCCTTCACTGCCTAGGAGATGGCAGAGACACCATTGCAGCTGGTACAAACCATGCACTGTGGGCTCACCATTCCCTCTCTATTATACAACTCACTGAAGACAGACAGACCACGTACACCACCAGGATTTATTTGTCCCCAACCTGTTTCCAAACAGGCTCAATGTGGATTCATCACTATCCACTCAAATCAGACAACAAGTGATAAATAGATAGGGCAACCAGCTCAATAGCCTGTGTAGCAGGCGCCAGTTTTTTCGGAGCAAGGGGAGTAATTTTGAGGACTTGCCCTTGTGTGTTTCCCCCTGCACACTCCATAACAACTGAGCAAAACAAATTTTGCTCATGTGTGCGGTGCAGGCTATCAGCTCAATGTTGCTACCAGCTCAATGATGCAATCATCTGAGCTAAAAAGAGCTAGCATTTGCCATTCATTTTGTCAGTTTTCTATTCTGGTGGGTGGTCTGATCAGGCGTCACATCCACACATGACACAAGTTTCCAAAAAATTTCTTTACCTTGCATTAACTCGGTCCTTTGAGCCTCACTTTGCTAGAATTATTATTTACTTCACTTATTCTATTTTATTTATTTATTGGTTTTTATTATTTAACTTAATATTTATTAAATAAATTTCATTAGTTTTGAATGTAATAGTGTGAATGTACATTTGGGGTGTGTATTGTAAGTAAACTTGACTTACCTGAATTTCACTCTCTTTTTCTCTTTTTACTTCTATAAGTTGTCTTTGTAGACTCTTCACAAGTCTGCGACTCTCTTCCTCCCTACATAAAGGACACAATGGAAATCATGTCCATACAAATGAACTTTATAGTCAGTAAGAGCACTACCCACTCTTCTTCTTTGAATAATGCTTCTAGAGAAAACTGTTTTCACCCATCACCACTCAATAATCATGAATAATAAAACCTTGTAAATATAATCAAGAGTGCTGAGGACAACAATCGCATGTCCGAACCCTTTTGCTCCAACTCTGTGCTTTGTGTAAGTTTCACATGAAAGATAGAAGGTCCAAACAAGCACGATCAGCTTGCATTCTTTGCATTCCATTCATTCTTAGTGGAAGTCCAACCAAAGCTGGCTATATACTAGTCTTGCCGTGAATTTATCATAGCAACCTAGAAATTATGATTGAGGGCTCCTCTTCTCATCTGTAATAATAACTTGAACTCAAAAAGTGCAGAGGGTGTCCAGAGTGGTAGCTTTCCCAGTGCCTACCTGGGGCAGTTGTGTCCTCCCTCCAAAGTAAAATAATATTATTTTCAGATAATCTAAATCAGTGGCTCACTAACCATTTATAAAATATCAATATCAACTTACTTGAGTATGGTTTGTTGAAGACCAGCTTTCTTTTCTTTCTCTGTGTTAACAGCTCTAAGAAGGGCATCAAATGATTTGCTAGAGACAACTTCATCCAAGGTTTCTTCCATTATGTCTTGAAGAAATTTTCTGTGCAGGTTAAATTATAGTTTTATAAAAGTAACCTACATGTAAATTACTTTCACACAATATTTACTACAAACCCAAAGGGGTATCTGCAACAATTTATACCAGTTGATAAAAAATTTGTGATTTGGTGGCACATACTTTAGCTCTAATTGCAGTGAAACTTTCCAGTTAGTCTACTTAGTCTTACCTTGAACAAATGAAAAAGTTAGGCAGGGAATCAAAAAGTTTGTTGAGACCCCTTTTTTCTTAAAACTTAAACTTACATTAAATAATGTTGAAAGGGGTGCCTGCAATAATTATAAAGCCCTATTGCCTTCTGATAAAATGCTAGATTCTCCTTCCAGTTACCTTGTATAATCAAAAGTAGAATTTGGTATTAGATACTGAGTCACTTGGGGCCTTTTTTCACTGTTTTAAATAACTGGAAAAATTATGTTCAGTACCTGTCTGCTTGAATTTTTGAGAGGCTGTCACTTGTCAATGGATTTTGTCTGAAACTTCTGTTTAGGGCTGTTCAGGCATTAAAGAAAGAAGAAAAAAGTCTAATTAGCAACTTTAGCTGTACTAAGATATTATAAGAATTGGTTGCATTATTTGGTAACGTATAGGCTGCATTTTAGGAGTGTGTTTGGGAGCTGGAAATCTATAAAATTCAGCTGAACATGGTGATAAAACGAGGAACATTGAGGTTTCAGGTGAATGGCATGTAATCAGTCAAAATGAATAGAGCTGTCAGCCAGAACACAAAGAAAATACTATCCACAGCTTTGGAATATTTACAGCTACCGACAATCGTACCATTTGTACTCTCTCGGAGTGATTTAGCTACAGACTGTATCTGTCCATCATCCACCACCCTTAATTGACTCTTGTTGGTAGAACTGGGATCATCTTTATTTGCCATTAGCTACAATAAAAATATACATCTCACATTATAAAAATTAAAGTTTAAAATAACTAATTACAAGAAATGTGTACCTTATTATAGGAAATTAATGCTCCACGAAATTAATGCGAATCGTTAAAATTTGCGTTAATTTAAGTCGCGTTCATTTTGTTGAGCGTTAATTTCCGTGATGTTAATTAAGTGCAGTGTTAGTTTCCGCGCTCTTAATTTCCAGTATTTTAACCCCAATTTTGCAACCTGTCCAGACATTCTTGACACCTAAAAAACATTAACTACAAGCTTTCTTTCTTTCCATTTACCCTTTATTTTTCATCTTTCACAAAAGCTAAGGCAAAGGTTTACAATATTTCGAGTTCATCTTCATCGTTGTCGCCGTCAGAAGTGATGTCAATGTCTTCTCCTTTGACCAACTGTGTCTTAATCGCGTTAATTTCCTTTATTATGAAATTCTACCTCCTTTTTTGTGTTAATTTTCTTTATTCAAAAGTCGTTTTCAATTAAATTCGCGTTAATTTAAGTCACGTTAATTTCCAATACCTTAATTTCATGGAGCGTTAATTTCCTATAACAAGCTAAATCACAGGATCTCACGAGGGACTTTGGGAGAACGGCAAGAAGTTGAAAGGGAAATAAAGCAATAAGGAAGACAATTTTTAATATCTCATAATATCTCTTTTTTTTTTTTTGGAACTTTCAAATCTGGCATTTTTATTTTCAAAAAGTGTATTAACCTGCTAATAGTTTCCATTGAAAAAATTTACTGGACAATAGAACTGATTTTATCCTGAAATCTTGAAAGGAAAGTAGAATTATTTTTTCCACAGCGGAATCAACTTGAGTGTGCCACTTATCTTACCATTTCATATCTAGACTCAAGGAACCTTTGGTCTTGTAGAATTTGTCCCAACTCATCGTCCACAATCTGTGCAGCTTCAGGCCTCCCCTCTAGGGAGTTTGGCATGATATGACCAAGGATTGCCAACTGATCTACACAGTCCTCTAACACGGCTGAGATGTGCACTGCATCCAGACTTGATAACATGGTGAAATGACCCAACCTAAATGATGTTCGCACATAATTTTAACCCTATAAGCCCCCAACATCTACATACAAATTCTCCAGATCCATCTACATACATTTTCATGAAGAATTACTTGTGAGAAATGGATAACAGATCAAAGCATTTTCCCTTTGATAACAACTTCATCAATTCTCAGAACCTTTTTTCTTGATAAATTTTTGACACAAATTTGTTTGACCTACATGTAAATGCCCATTCAAAAAACAACCTGCGACAAATACAGACTGTACTTATGTACACCCAGATATGCAGACTGGTGGGCTAAGCTTCTAGGTAAAAATTCTTGTGAAATCAAAGCTATTCCAAGAATTTAAATAGCCTTAAAGGTTATGAATAAGAATAGTCAGGGGCACCCAACGTCAATTTTCGGAAAATATCTGTTTGGAAGACAATTTGAGATCTAGAATTTTCGGAACATTTGTCGTAAAATTTCTTGCTTGCCTAGTGTCCTAGGATTTTCAAACATCTAAAAAATGGTATAATTGCCCATTTTTAACGGATTTTTACGCTAAAAGGGTCACCTAGAATTTTTGGGAGCCTTTTTTCTGGCTGAGATTTTCGAAAAGGTAAGTTTTGATCCCTATAATTTTCGGATCACTAGACTTTTAGCAAGGAAATCCGAACAGATGAAAAATTTTCAGAGGATGAAAATATGCTTATATCTACCGTTTAAATACTCAAAAACGTTTAACAATGCTATGTTTAAGTGGTTTTGAACTATATTCTCGTTGGGTACCCCTGAATAGTTTTGAGAGGACTTCACAGCATTGTTTACCTCATTTACTTGCTAGTCTTCAGTGTGCATTTGTCTCGTACTCTCATAACCAATTTGAAATAAGCTAAGATTCCTCAAGCATTATTAAACCTACTATCAATCAGGATCTGAACGATTGCATCCTAATTTTCATCCTATGTCCCACCCTCTTTTACCGGTGTTTTGCCGCCCGTGCACCATCAACCTCCACCTATTTATAGCTCTTCCTTGTTTAAAAGCTATATCATAACTTGATTAAATTTGATCGGAAAACAAAACAAAAACTAGACAGTCTCCAGATCAAGTCCACATGCGAGCCATCGATCAGAAATCTTTCCCCTGTATTGCCATAACTTTTACAGATTATCTTGTTCATATCATTGACTTTCAAAGTAAAAGTTAAACCCAGTTGTTGTGTAATTTCCTTACCAGCCTGAATTCTTTCTTAGTAATCTTAAAATGGAGCAGAATAACCAAAGAATTCATGGAAACTAACTGAATCGTGTTTTCTTGCCCGCCATCTTAGTTTGTAACTAAGCAACGTTTGTTTATGCTTATACCCTTGACTCTTTGCGCGCTCATTGTGAAGGGTCGCTCGTCCCCAGGGTCCAAATCCTCGAATGCGCGCAGCGCACCGCTTAGTTGCTCGAAAATGATAACACAATAAAACGAAACACTCTTAAAACACAGATTTTGATTTTAAAACTTGACTTTAGGCCTGACTGGTTTACAGGACTTTTGAAAAATTGACCACCACTCTATGTACGGTTCACTGAGGGAAAACCAGAGCATTTGGTCACTTTTGATAGGGCGTCAAAAGTCTGACAAAGTTGCACCAAAACGGCGAACCATGGTAGAGGGTGAGAGACGGAGTTCGTTTTGTACATCAAAGTTATAACACGTTTGAAGCGTGTCAAAACTAAGTATCTCTGTTATCTCTGCACCTTTTAAAGCCAATTAAATTATTCACAAGCTTTGTATCACCTTTGACCAAAGGGAAATTAATATGACTTTTACTACCTGGGACCATAAGGTTACTACAGTGAAACTCTATATAACTAAGTCCTCGGTATAAGGAACGATTTTCTTTACCCCAGTGATAGTAAAAAACATGAAAAAGAAACTCGATATAACGGGTAACCCGGTTATTGTCGGCTAGGCTGTTCGTTATATCCAGGTTCTGCTGTATTGCTGATCCAGGGCTACAAGAAATCCGATCTACTACATTTCAAAGTTGGGTAGCTATCCTAAAAACCGATAAAAGTACAATAAAAACTTTTACAATCATTCTTTGGAAAAAGGGGGCCCAGATTTAATCCTCTTTAGCTTATATCTAATAAAAGCTGACCAGATAAATAGACAGAATACAGAATAAGGCTAATGGGTGATAATGGGTGGGCTTCTTTGAGGCCGGCTGGTAGAAATACCTTTAAAAATTTTCACTAATTCTCGCGACAATTTGCCACCATAGAATATTGCTTCAGGCTGTTTGTAGCAATGTCTTAATATTCTAAATTCCTAATCCTCCAGAGCGTGAAGAAAACACACTTCGTCGCTTTCGTGAACAACATGGCCGAGACTGTGGGTGGAAAAAATTTGGAGACCCAACTCAAAAAGGTTGCTTTGGCATCCGCATGCACACTGACTGGACCAACAGGACGGGAGCCGTCCGACGAAGGCAGTTAGTTTCCCTTAAGTTAATAGTTGCATAGTTTAATGCCACTTCTTTGGTCTTAATGCGCTTCTAACATTATTTTTTCGCTTAGACTTCGCGGAGAGTTTGGAAGACAAAGTGAGGAGATTCAGGCAGGAGAGCAGTGTATACAAATGGGATGAAAAAGAAGACGAACCAGGTAAAGGTAAGATCTAGTGTTGCAACAATTGTTTTCTAAGGCACTTAACTCTAGAGACAACAGACTCAAATATGTTGAGACAACCCCAGATCGAAGATTATAGTTCAGTTTTCTTAAAGCTATAGTCATTTAATCGATACATACATCAAATTTGTTGCAATACACAAGTTATCTTTTCGTTTCTAACACTGTTTTATAAACTCGCTTAGCTCAGAGACAAGCCGGAGAAAAGCGAGGGTAAACTTGTTACGGTTAACTGAATTCCTGCAACCATGTGGCTCACTGATGTCAACGAATTGAAAGCGTTTGTAGCCGCATGAACTCTAGCCTCCCATGCAGGCGTTTTTAGGGGAGCTCGTTTTTCATCCCAAACGAAGAACGAGCTTCCCTAAAAATGCCTGCGTGGGAGGCTACATGTACTCCTCAGCACTGGCAGAATCTGATATCTTATTTTACTTTCAGTGAACAACATGGCAGAAACTGTAGATGGAAAAGATTTGGAGACTCAACTCAAAAAAGTTGCTTTGGCATCCGCATGCACACTGACGGGACCAACAGGATTTTGCACCCCCGACAGGGGCGAAGGTTCAGACGTTATACTTACGTTCATAGTTCCTTAGTTAATTAAGGACATCAACTGTCACTGCTCCGGTATAATGCGTATATACGTTTCTAACGTTAACTCTTTCGTATAGGCTTCGAGAGTTTAGAGGACAGAGTGAGGAGAGTCAGCAGGCGGGAGGGCACGGTATACAAATGGGATCTAAAAAACTGAAGACATATCAGGTAAAAGTAAGATCTAGTGTTGCAGCAATCGTTTTCTAAGTAACTTAACTCTAGAAACAACAAACTAAAATTTTATGCTGAGTAACCCCAGATCGAAGATTGCATGCAGTTCAGTTTTCTGAAAGCTCTGAAGTCATTTAATGGATACATACAATACACAGTTCCTAACACTGTTTTACACACTTTTAATTGTCTCCGAATTAAAACTCAAAGACAAGCAGGAAAAAAACTACAGGAGGGTAAACTTGTTATTTGTTAACTGAATTCAACCATATAGCTCGTATATGACAAAGAATTGAAACGTTTGTAGCCGCGTGTAATCTTCAGCACTGGCCGAATCTGATATTCATCTTATTTACTTTCAGGCCAACTGATCTATGAAAGGACGCCTCGCATAGATGAAGAGACAATTGCCGCGTACGATAAAAGACATAAAAATGGACTTTTTATACCTGCGGTTGCAGTAATAAATTACTAGTCCTCCGCAAATTTATTTAAAATAAATCATCAAGTTTGAGGGATAGTTAACTGTTGCGAGACTCACTACCGTAACGGTTGGTGGGGGAGGACAGGTGGGGCCCGACGGGGTAGGGGTAACGGGAGAGAAAAGGGCGGAACGTGAGAGTTCTAAAAGGGCAGAAGGAGGAAGAAGAAATAGGGGGAAATCACGCTGCAATGTTAAAATATTTTGCAATCGAAAAAAACTAAAGATACGAAGGTAAGAAAAAAGGAGGGAGTCAGGAGAGTCACGGGAGCATGACAAGCTGTTAAACTAGATGCGGCGGCTTTCAGAATGCCTTGTATTTCACTTTCGAAAATAAGCTTTTAATAGGCGCGCTTTTCTTTAATTAGGAAAACATAAACTGGTTAAGAAAACTCTGTTATCATATTTCTGGAAAAAAGTTATAAGCTGTATAAGAAACAGTTTGTTAAGTTATCAAAAAGAAAACTCTATAACATTTTTTTTATCCACAAGTAACTAAGTTTCTTTACTCTTACGACTGGTTTCCATGCACAGCCAACCCCTAGGGTCTGCAAGCTAGTGTTGTTAACCCTTTCCAGGACGGCCATGGAACGATGTATACATTCCTCAGTTTAAGTTAAGTTAACCGACTGACTTTATAACTGGCTAACTTAAGCGCAGAAAAAATTTTGGATCATTTTACGTTTCTGTGAAACTGCCCACCTACCCCTCCCCTAAACCAACATTTTGCCTCAAGTAAGAACTTGGTGTTAATGTTGGTTTAGGGGAGGGGTAGGTGGGCAGTTTCCCAGAAACGTAAAATGATCCAAAATTTGGACAGACTAGACGAACTTATTAATGGTAGCGAGAAAGATAGCTGGTTTTAAGAGCAAGAGAAGAAAAATTTAAATTGATCCCCAACAGACAAAGCGTCAACTAAAAGGGTAAATAAGGTTTTATAAGGCGCTACCTCTGCGTATTAAAAGATCCCGCTCGTTTTGCTTTACACTGACGATAGTTAACACAATACAATTAACATTGTTATGATGGGACTGAAAAATGTCTCCGTGAGTCAGTAATAGGTTCCGCACTGCTTAGACAAAAGGTTTGGATGAGACTAAATCAGGGAACATGGAACGGAACGCATGAAAAAGGAAACAAAACCTAATTTAAACCGTAGCCCAAACAGTCTCCCATTCCGCTTTTCAATTGTTTTTCATTTTCACAGAGAAGAGCAACGGCAGAACTAAAGTTTGCTTGAATCAAAACGGCTAAAACGGCTTAAAAAATAGGGGAAATTACGCAAAAGAATGCTTAGAACATACCATGAATAAGACATGGAGGCAAGTAAAGAAGTCTTGATGTAATTTCAAAAGGGTGTAGAACCCTAATCAACGATTGCTAAAATCCTAATCCCCATCCATTCCAACGATTCTCACTCATGAGTTTGGCGTACCTGTGAACTGACATTTACCAAAAAGAGCTTTGGGTGGTACCCTGGAACAAGGAAGATAGTGAAGCTTAAGGAAAGCGGCCCACTGGCAGGCCCCAATAACGTTATAAAGATGTCTGTAAGAGGGACCTGAAGGCCTTGCGCATTGACATCAACAGAAGGGAAACCCGTACACTGGCTTCAGAACGTTGAGCTTGGAGACAGGCAGTGCAGCAAGGCCTTTATGAGTTTGAAGAGACACTTTCCCAAAAGACTGAGGTTAAGAGACAAACAAGGAGGGCCCGGAAACAGCGAGATAGACCAGCAACTGATCACATCTGCTCACTGTGCGGTAGGGACTGTCATTCCCGAATTGGTCTTTGCAGCCACATAAGGCACTGTTCGAGAACCTCCAATCAGAGCGCGACGCTATAGTCTTTCGAGACTGAAGGATATAAATACATTTACTGACGTCCGATTTTTAAAACCGTTAAAACCTCTCTTGTCCCTCACCCTATCGAGCAAGCGAAAGAATAGCCTGCGAGTAAGCGCTCCTATTTGGGCAAGCGGAGCAAGCTTGGCTAGAACGCGCGAGCCAGCGGCGAAGCTGCGACGGGACCCCGCTTTCGCTTATTTTTCCTCCCCCAAATGGCCTCTTGAACGTCTTCTTTTTATATATCCCCAAATGGAGAAAAACTAAAATGCTCGCAGGATAGCGAACTAACTAAAAAGACTCCTAAATAGTAAAAAATCGTGGATTAAAAGATTAAAATAATCTTTGAAAGGACTACAAACATTGCCTTTTAGGCAATCAAAAACAAATAAACAAGCCTTTTTCTTTAAAAATTTTCAATTGAGGATAGACGGAGTTCACAGTTTAGACAATTTGAGGTTTGCAGAATAATCCTGTACTTTGTTGTTCCAAATCGCGTGGATTAAAATGGGCATCATCAAATTCGTTCAGAGCTAATCTCTTAGAAAGCATGGTGTGGTCCCCCGGCGGGTCATCGAAACCGGAGGCTCGAAGGTGGATCAGCGGTTATTTTATCACAGCATGCGTGAGGTTCGCGGCCAGTTTTCAATATGGCGGACAGCGATGAAGATACGTTCGCAAGTTTTGGCACTCCTTTTGAAATTCTTGAAGAAGATGCCCCGCGTAAAAAGGCTGTTCCAATACATGAACAAATTGTTACCGATACTGAAGGAAGACGGCGATTCCATGGCGCCTTTACCGGCGGATTTTCAGCTGGTTATTTTAACACGGTTGGCACGAAAGAAGGATGGCAACCTTCAACTTTCGTGTCATCACGATCGAAAAAAATGGAACAAAGAGCGCAGAGACCTGAAGATTTTATGGATGAAGAAGACATTGGAGAGTTTGGAATCGCTCCCAAAAGAATAACGACAAAGGAAAAGTTCTCGGTATTGGACCGAGAGCCTCAAAGCCGTAAACGGGTCGTAGAAGCGGATGACGCACTAAGAGTTATTCCTGGCGAACCCGTGTTACAGGATCTTGTCCTTCCAGTGGAAATGTCTGTCGGTGTTGAACTGTTAAAGAAGATGGGTTGGAAGGAGGGGCAAGGAATTGGACCTCGTGAGAGAAGATCAAAGAAAAAGGTAATTATAATGTTGAGCTTATGTTTTTCACTTTTCTCTCTTTGTGTTCAATTCTTGCATTTGTAAGTTCAATAAATTGAATTACAGAGGCAGGATTAGCTCAGTCAGTAGAGCTCTTGACCACAGAGCAGAAGGTTGAGGGTTCGATTCCCGGGGATGGACAAGTACTCAGAAATAACTGAGAAAAAATAGCCGTCTGTCCAGTCTCCAGTAGGAGATGTCAAAGTAGTGTCATCAATTAGTACTTTCGTGCTAAACGCACTAACACTCAAATAAATTGCATTGTTATCATTTTTTTTGGTCAACCACAGTAATTAATGCAGTCTTGAGCTCACTCGAACAAAAACTGGAGAGGCACTGATTGCCTCAAAAAGCTGATGAGCCATAAATTTTTGATTCAGATAGCAGAACAACCATTCCTAATTAAAATATGAAGATTGGTAACATTGTTTACTTTAAAAAAGTTTTAAAATTCCAAGCTTTTTAAAGAACTTTTTTTGCAAGACCATGGTTATGGATTTTTATTCGAGCCATCTGCTCTTTGTTAAGTTTTGATTAAAATCCCATACTCTGGTTATTCTCATGTTATTACTACCCACAAGAAGCTTGACAGTAGCTATCTCTTCAGGTTTATGGTTGTTCCCTTCCACCTGGGCTTCCATTCCAAGCAACGGACCATAATCAGGAAGAAGAAGATATTTTTGCTGTTGGTCTTCTCTTTGCTCCAAAAGATATTGATGCCTTTACTTTTACTCCGAAAGACAACAAGCATGGATTGGGATATAAAGGTTTGGATCCATCAACTGCATTGATCGGTCGAGATGACTGGCTTGGAATTGATCCTGTATCAAGCAGAGTAGGAAAGAAGGGCATCGCTGGGGAGGTACGATTTAACCCATTAAGCCTCAATAGCCACATACAAATTCTCCAAACTGATCTCCATACATTTTGTTTAAGAAAATTAGTTAAGAGAATCTGATAAAAGATCATGGCATTTTCTCTTTGGTGATCATTTTATTAATTCTCATAACTTTATCTCTTGACAATGTTGGTCACTATTCGCACCTAAAGGGTTAAGCCCAACTTCATAATGATAGACTTTGTGTCCTACAATTCAGGAAGTAATTCAGCAAGTCATTTTAAATTCGCCAGTTTGAATTACAAGCCTGATTACCCCTGAATTGTACATGAGCTCTATTTGAAATCACAAGTATGATTTAGACCAAAAGTGCACAACACAAAGTTCAATAATTACTGCTTTTTTTTCATCCTGTAACATGTTTTTGTTCTTGACAGTCATATTAGCTTGATCACTAGCTTTCCTTAGCTGATCTAGTTTGGTTTTAAAAATTGAAAACTTTTGTTATGTAGTTTTGAGGATGTGGAACAGCATACAAGGAACATGTGGATTTCTTCACATATGCTATTTATTGGTCGATTATGACGTGTATCATTGACTTTGTGTGACGATATACATCAAAACTAATATGAGAGAGGACAGCATTAAGATATGACATTATCGCAGTTGCGTTTGTTTCATTCAAAATTAGGTGTCAGAAGGTTGCATGACTTTGATTTAAATGAAGCTATTGATGTTTATGATTATTTTTCTCACATATTTTCTATTGCCATTGTAAAAGTTTTGAATACCTTAATTAACCAAGGTTTCAGTTCGTGATATCGCAAAAATTAAGAGACTTATGTTTCAAAATTTAGGAAAATTGCTACATTAAAGTGCTGCTAAATAATGATTTTTCAAAATTGCTAAATTATCATGTCACCAAAATTTCATGTAATGTGTAATGAGGTACAGCTTGAATCATGCGTTGGGGAGACAAGGCTGCCTATACAAACTACATGTAGTTTGCTGTAATATTATTGTACCGTGCATGTAGAGTCATAATAGCCCATGAGGCCAAAGGCCAGATGGGCTATTGACTCAGAGGCCATAAGGGCAAGAGGAATAATTGTTTTAGTAAAATTCAACTAGTTGGTCAATATCAAGACAAAACAACTCTAGCTAGTTAAAGCTAGACTTTAATCCTTTTTTGCCGCCAAAAAGCCACCAGTAGGCTACAACATATAGCCTAGTAGTAGCTCAACCAATCAGAACGCAGCATTGATAATAGACCACTAGTTGGATTTTACTAAATAATATCACAACTCTGAGTATACAAAAGGAAAGGTTTCCAATGTTATTGCTTGTTTATGCATGTAGGCCTTTGGTGTTGGTGCTTTTGAAGAGGATGATGATGACATTTATGCAGTAGATCACATGTCAAACTATGACGCAGAGCTGACAGCTGATCGTAGTTCGGGTTTGCATGGTTGGACTGGTCCCCCTAAAGAAAGTGCCAGAGGTTAGTTCCTGTAACGTCTCTTTGCTAAAACCCATCCCCAGTGGCTGGATGTGAGGAAACAGCCTGTGAATACAGCTGTCTCACCTGCTCCTCCCCACCAGGGATGTTTCTCAGGAGAGACGTCTGCACTGGAATGGCAGAAATGCCATATTAATGACATAAATTTATTAATAATATACATTACTGATCTGGAAGTCTGGGGTTTTAAATGTATATTTGGTTCACCTAGCTGTTGGGGGTGCCATACCTAAGGAATATCAGATGGTTTTGTTTTTTTAGCCTGATGAAGTTTGCTGCCTCTACATCATGATCTGCTTAGTTGTCGTGATTGCTATGACAAAGGGAAAGAAGGACATACATTGTAGTGCTTAGGAGGAAGTTGCCTGCCAAATTACATAGGATACCAATAGTCTGCAAGCAAGCTCTCCAGGGCACTCTGTTGGTGGGGTAGGAAAAGGAAGGAGAGCTTGCAACTGTCTCTGGAATTTGAATATCTGCATTGAAAAAGTTGATGCGAAATGCTGATTGGCGAAGATGACACTAGTATTGACGTCATTACCTTTTTAAAGTGTTTACATTCACACTTGTTTCTGCTTTGCACTGATTGGCGGGATTCTGACAGCTCACTCGACAGGGAGCCATAGAGGAATTGGAGGTGGAATTGACATTCCAGAGACGTAATTGCAAACTCTCCTTCCTTTTCCCTCCCCGCCTCCAGAGTGCCCCCGAGAGCTTGCTCGCAGGCTAGACACCAAGTGTAGCTGATGTTTAAGCACACTTGCACCCAACATAACCTTGTTTGGTTGTCAGCTCCTTGTACTCTCTCATTCTCCCTACCTTTGAGAGAACATTTTGTGAGAGAGATGTTTTCATTCATTTTAGCCTCAGCAATTCCATACTGATGACATAAATCAATGTTTACACAGCTACTCTGGTAGTTGTGGGTAGTTCCACAGGCATTAGTCTTTTTAGTAGTGTCTTTTTCTCCCCATTAATTATCAAGCGGACAGATAGTATGTCAGTCTGTCAAAAGGCTGGATTTGGGATAGTAGTAGAGTTTTACTGAATGAATGCTCTAAAAATAAAGTGGTTTCCTCTCAAATGCTTATTTATTTGCATTTAGGTGGTGCACTGTCAATTTTCACAGCCACGCCCAAAGCTACGGATGCCATGAAATCCTTTCCTCCACCTGTGGTCCCACGAGACTTCAACTGCACTCACACATTTTCCAGTGCTACAACGGTGACAGCCACAAAATCAGAAGAAAATAATCAAATAAGAAAGTCTTTGACTGCTTCAGACAGAGGGGAAATTCTTGGTGAAGAACCCATTCCCACCCCTAAGAAATCCGTTTTTGAGTTTATGGCTAAAGAGGACAAAGAACGTATTTTGTTGTCTTCGAAGGAGGTGGTACCTAAAGCTTCCAGTTCGCCACCTACGGCTGTGAGCTCTGTGTCAAGTGCTTCAGTCAATTTGTCCTCGAGGATCTGGTCTGGACATAGTAGTTTTAAGCCATTTGCAAAAGATGCAGCTAAACAAGCAAGGTATGAGGAGTTTTTGAAGACGCAGAAAGGAGAACAGGTCTCCCAAAAGCTTATTGACAGGTGAGTCAAATGTGTTTTGTGCTTTGGCTTATAGCTAACAACGTGTTCCAGACAGTTGGTGGCAGGGCTTACTTAGTAAGCAGAGGCGGTACCCTGATCAGACTGCTAGAGATGCCCACAAACAGATGGAGCAACATTTCATGTAGCCGGCGGCAAAAAAAAACGCGAACTTATCTTGGTCTTGCCTAGTCCCTGTACGGCGTTTTCCCTCTCTTTTTCGCTTGGACCACGTGACCCGAAACGCTTTGGCCGCGCGGAATAATGAGCCTAGGGACTAGGCAAACTTCGGTTAGGATTGTTTGTTTGTTTGTTTGTTTTTTTTTATTTTAGTGTTTGGCTGTTGACAACAAAGATAACGTTCCCAGTGAGGCAATCACAACCACATTTTGCGGCTGCCAAACACGTTTGTCCCCGTTTGGTAGAAAACGTAGAAGAAAGTACTTTAGACATTATTAAAATTACTGTTATTATTTTTATTTTACTGCAGTGGGCTGACAGAGTGGGAGCGAGAGAGAGAACAAGAAGAATTTTCTCGCTCTGCTGCATTGTACCGACCCCTTAACACAGCAATGGCGGCAAGATTTACAACTGCACAGTATCAAGACGACCACAGAACTGTTTACGAGGACGTCCCTGCTCAGGAATCTTCAGACTCAACAGATCAAATTAAGGCCGCCAGCATGAAAATGTTTGGAAAATTAACTCGCGATAATTTTGAGTGGCATCCAAGTAAAATCTTATGTAAGCGTTTTAACATTCCAAACCCTTATCCTGGTTCTGATGTTGTTGGTGTTCTTAAAACACGAAGGTCTAAGTTCACTCTTGGAGAGTTTATAACGCCGGTTAAGCCGCATTCTATAGCTAACGACCCGTCCACGAGATCTGGCGAAGATAGCCAATCCGACAAACTCGATAAAAGGTCTGAAACTACCGGGATAAATAACGCGTTACCGAAGACTTCAGAATCAGTGTCGATGACATCTGAGTTAGTAGCAAGAACTTCCGCTGAATCTTCGTCAGCAACCACGTCTGTCTTACCAGAAACTAATGTACGAGTAACTGATGTACCAGAAAGTACAGGGGTAGAGAAAACCACCAAAGAACCACAAAATAACGAGGATACATCTGCTCCCAAGCGACCACCAATGGATTTGTTTAAAGCGATATTCGCTAATTCGTCTTCCGACGAATCCGAAGCGAGTGAGGAAGGCGAAGATGACGATACCGAACGTTTATCGATCCAGGCTTCGGGGGATCAAACAGGGAATAAAGAGGCTGTGAATAACAATGGTGAAGTAAACAGGAAGTCGGATTCTCATACTACTCAACAGAGAATGTTAGAGGAAGGCTTGTCTAACGTGAAACATAACGAAGAAGAACTCAAGCCTACTGAATCCGAGCCTGTAAATGTTAAACCTCTTGAAGCTGAGAAACGGGAAACATCTCCTGATATATTTGGTCCTGCTCCTCCTCCTGTTGTTCGTAACAACGAGTTTTCAAGTCCTCTGTCGAGAGAAAAACACAACAGAGACGGAGCTTATAGCAAGGAAGACTTGGAAAGTGCAAGGCGTATTAAGAAAGACAAACGTAAGGACACAAGAAAGCGTTACTCTGAATCATCAGACAGCGAGGAAGAGTACAAGTCAAAACGCAAACATAAACATAAGGAGAAGAAGAAACACAAGCATAAGCATAAAAGCAAGAACAGACATCACGGCGAAGAGAGGGAAAAACACAAACTAAGTGACAAGAAAGATACCCAAACAAATGATTCCAGACAGGCTGAAAACATTTCTTTGTCAGATGATAAGCAGATTCTAAATAAGTTGAAGAATTTACAGAGTTTAAAAGCAGGGAAGAGGATGCGCGCCATGGATTTCATGTGAAATACATGTATGGTGATAGTTTTGCGCATGCTCCTTAGCGCCGGTAAAACAACACGTGTAAAGACGTACAACAGTATTAAAGGTATTTCTTTTTCATGGGAGCATCATCCTCCAACAGCTAACTCAATGTTCGTGAAGATTGAGGAAAATCTGTGAGAGCATTATCGAAGAATAAGCCATTTTCCAGTTTCCCAAGTCTCTGTTTCAAAGTGAGGCCAACTGGGAAGCCATTGATATGAAAATGTGTTTTTATTCTAATGCAAATAAAACTCTTTTTCACAAGAAAGGTTTTGCACTTAGCCTCGTTGTGAAAGTGAGAGCTTTTGGAACTCAGAAATGGCTCATTCACTCCGTTGTCACAGTGATATGGGCATCCCCATTCCCAAAACCCTAGTGATATGGGCATCCGCTTCTCATATTACCTTAGCGATTTGGTTTAGGGTTAGGGTTAGCGGGGATGCCAATATCACTAGGGTCCACTAGGGTTTTGGGAATGGGGATGCCCAAAACGATTGGATGCCCCTGTTACAGTGCCACTTAAGAAACGAGAAAGGAAACTGGGACGAGTTAACTTTCGCAAAGACATCTGGGGCTGTCACTAGGCACGGAAAAAAATTGGCCAATAGCTGACCGGTACTTCACCAATAACGATCCCAGAAACATTAGTGGGACGCATTTCGGTTCCTGTTCCCTTGTCGTTTTTTAAGTTGCAAAGTGAAACTGAAAACGAGAAGTACCAAAGACTTCTGCAAAGCTGATAACAACTTGTATTACTTTTTTAGAACAATGTTTTGGCTGGCCATACCAGCCTTCTTCAAGTTTACAGATGTTACTGAAACTAGACGATTTTGGTGTTCAGCCGTTATTCATAGATAACGAAGCGCTTTTGAAATCCAATTTCGCCTTCTACCAGTTTCATTCTCTTTAAAAAACCTTTGTGAAAAGATCATATACGTCTTCCATAATGGCGGACTATTTATTTATTCTTTCATGCGTGTATGTTACAGGTCAAAATTATATTAGGGTAAAATTTTTTAACCTAGATTTAATTCTCATTTTTCATTATCTTCTGGCCCTAATTATAATTAGGGCTAAAGGACAAAGGAATCAACCAAGGTTAAAAAAATTCTGACCGTTTAATACGGTGCCGCTTAATACAGGTATGACTGTAACTGAGCCTTTCTGGTCTCGTTTGAAAGTAGGAAATTTTTGTATTATGCACTGCTAAGGAGGTCAGAAAGGCTAATCATCATCCATTTAAAAGAATGTATTAATAGGCCGCCATTATCAAAGAGGTTTACCGCTAGATTAGCATGTACTGACGTGCTCTTGTTGGCGTTTTTGTAAATATAATCATTTGGAAAGAGCTCGTTAGATCGTGCTAAAATTTTCATATTCTCGTTGGTTGTTCGGCAAAAAAAAATCCTAGCCTGTGTAGCGGGCGCTTGGAAGAAGTGGGGACAAGAAAAAACGTGCGCGCGAGAAGGAGTCACCCCTCGCGTGTTTTCCTCGGGCGCGCCCGCCCTCTCTTTCACCCACTACTTCCAAGCGCCTGCTACGCAGGCTAGAAAAAACCTTTTGTGCGTGGACGGGGGGATCCAAACCTTCCGCTCTCCATACGTTACATTCCCGGCTTCCTCCATTTTTTCCTCTGCTTTCTCCGTTTGGTCCAATATCGATTGCGAAATATGAAGCATTGTTGCGTAATTTTCCCCTATTTGTCCTGCTCTCCACCCTTGTCGCACCTTCCGCCCTTTCCTCTCCCGCCTCCCTTTCTCCTCCTCCCCCCGCTTTTCTCCTGGATCCCCATCTCGACCTCCCCCACAGCTTTGACCTCATTCGGAGAATTCTCCTCTGAAAGGATACGTTTATAGACTCGCCTGGTTTCTAGAAAATCACATACCCATTCATATTTTAAGTTGCTTTTGAAAAACCCTAGCAGCGGACCTGTAGTGAGCCTCACGCCACCTTGACATCACGATCGCGTGATCGCGCTGCATTTGTCGCCCGGGGGACGCCCGGGGTGATAGGAAAATGACCTTTGTATTCGACCCAATCCCACACGGATCCCATACTGACATGAAACCGTCATGGCGGTTTGTTCGAAGCTTCGACGTCTGTGCGCAAGATTTTTTAGAAACGTCTTGTGGAACCCGGCGAGCCTGCTCCATACATTTCTTCTTGGTTCAATATATGTCTCGCTTGCCTGTTCAAGGACGGTACTGATTAAGCTGTCGATCCGAGGTAAACAACCTTCCCGCACTATTCTTACATTGTTTTGATCCGCGCGCTATCCATGAACATTTTGATCAACTTTCGACCATGTTGGGTTGTTTGCATGAGTGAAAATTTGAGCTGCAAGCATAGATTACTATTTACGCTCAGTTCATGCTGGATTGAAACAAGGATAGTTTCGCGAATTTTTATATTTTTATAAACATTTTTGCTACATACATGTGCCATAAACGGCGCTGCGTGGTGTACTTATTAATTTCAAGATATTTTGGCCTGTTGTTTGTCTTTTTTGTGAGTGAAGCAATACAGAGAGCGTTCGCGTTAGTTCCACTTTATATCGTGGATGTGGTATGTTTTTCTCCTCTTCTGGTAGTTTGCCTCTCATTTCTTGGTTTCGTACCATGTTTTGTCGCATTGTAGAGCGTGCACACGTGAATTGTCAAACATCATGCAGCCATTGCAGCAAGATTGATCTTCCTTGAATGGCGACACAAAATATTAGGCTTAACTTTGCAGTTGTCACGAAGGAGGGCATGGTATAAGGAAGGGTACTAACTTTGAAGAATCGTAAATATTTCTTTCCCGCTTGTTAGGTCGCGCCCTCGCATGTTACAATAACAATAACAAAAATATTGCGAACGCTTGTTAGGTACCCGGGGTTACGTAACAGAGCCGAAAAATCCTTTGTAGGTTTGGATAAATTCTGCCCGCAGAATTGTGAGCAGGAATGAAATAAGTGATCAATATGACTAGCATTCCACTGGCTCAGAATAAGGTTTTTTTTTTCAAGCATAATTTGAGCAAAATAGCGCAAAATCATTATAAACCCTAATGATATTCCTGACACTTTCCCTCTATCTGTGATGTCTTTTTCACAGATGGTGGCTATGAGTATCTTCCTGTCACAGTCAACTTTTTTGCTGAACTCTTCAAGCTCAGTATCTGCTGCAGCCTTTATGTACATTTGTTGCTATGCAAAGGTATGGATACTTGTGAATAATACCTGATTTGCTTTCAAGATAAGATATTAAAAATTCCTAAAATTCAAATCTCTTTTTAAATCGTTAAGATTTTCAAAATTGAATTTTTAATTAAAAATGCTAAGTTTCATTTTGTAAAATAGAACCATGTGGAAGAACTGCTACACATGTTTGATCCAAATGATCAAACCAGAGGATTGTTTCCACAGACTCAGAAGTTAGAACTCATTTTTACAGCATACGTATCTAATAGCAATGTTCACGCTGACATCACCTATTGATATAGATGTGCCAACTGTTACAAATTTGAATAACAAAAACAATGTTTATGAACAGTGATGTCTCCTAGATATAAACAGTATGGCAGGAGAGTACTACTCACTAACTTTCATTTTAATGACCAATCTTAAGTATTTTTCTTACGGACCTAAAATTAAGCCAGGCCTAAATTATTTTTCTCTATAACTGACTCTTGAAGTAAGAGGATCACAGCTTGTTCAGTACTTAGCAGAGAATAGTTGATTCAATTTCCATGATCCCAAAATGGTTTAAACAAGTTTAAGTAGTTTAAAAGAATTAAATCAGTTGTATTAATTTGGGGTTGTTATGGTCAACTGATTGTCTCAGTTATCATTGACAGTTTAAGGCAGCTTGTCCCACTTCAACTGGTTTGTGCCATGTAAGGGATTCCAAGAAATGGATTCCGGATTCCAGGTACTGGATTTCCGATTCCAGATACTGGATTCCGGATTTTTTGTCAGTGGAACTTAAATTCCAGACTCCATTCATTAGTGGGATTCCAGACTCCTTGAGCTGTATTCGGGATTCGAAAGCCAAGGATTTGGGATTCTACTAGCAAAAATTTCCCAGTTTCTGGATTGAAAAAAAAAAAAGAAAAGTTATCTGGATTCCAGATACTGTTTCCCTTACCTAGGACTAATAAGCGGATTGCAAAGACCCAGTGGGCTGGTGATATTTCTGGTGGCCACAGTGCGTGAGACACTGGATAATTAATTAATGCCGCAGATGGTCATGAAAGGGGGTTGATAAGTGGTGACAGATTGTGATGTCCAATAAAAATTGCAGTGCTGACACAACCTGAATCCGGTAGATGGGTCAATTTGGACATTGATTAACTTGACATGGTTAATGTTTTTATCAGACAGGGGTGTTCTTTCCAACTTTCAATTTTTTTCTTTTTGCAGAGGGAAAATCAGCAAGTGAAATTTTCTCTGTCTCTGAAATCAAGTGGCATCAACTTTTTAAATGGGCAGTTCCTGGATTGCTGTATTTCTGTGACAATTTGATAGGATTTTACATCCTTCTACACCTGTCCGCTGTAAGTTTTGAAAGTAAATTTTTCAATGTCATACTGATAGCCTTTCTTCCACTGTAACTTTAGCACCAATTCCCATCTTTCTTTTTTGAACCTAAAACTAAGAAGCCTTTTTGAAGAGACTAAATTGTGTGATATTCTTCATTGCATTGTGGTTTTAAGGTTTGATTTTTTTCTGTCATTAATCATTATCTGGGTAGACCAATGAGAAAATAGCAATGTATAGGATTGAAATCCATTCATGTACCTCACCGTGAGTGAGCTACATAATGCCCCGTCGGGGGGGGGGTACTCCAGATTTCACATTTCAACGTTCTTAGTATCATTCTGCTATTTAAACCAAGTTAAAAGGCCCCAACAGCTAACATTAATTTTCTCTCCCCTATAGCATTTTCAGTTCCCCTTGCCCATTTCCGTTAAGGATAAATCCACACAGGGTACAGTAGTTAATGACCCTCACCCCTGATTTCTAATTATCGCTTGCAGGCCGTGTACATACTGATGCAGAATTTTGTCATCATTTCAACAGCAGTTCTCTTTAGAATTATACTCAGGTTTGTTCAACTTAATTTTCCTTTTTTACTGGATAGATTATTTTTTGTAAACTTTGAATAGCATTTCACTTAAGTAAAACTTTTATGCTGAGTTTACTGGGCAGCTCGAATTTCCTTCATGGTTCTTCTGGATGAACTCAATGCGCATGTCTGGGTCGTGACTGTGGCCCTTATTAACCCTTTTAAATAACATGTACTTCCCATATATTCTTCCACACATTGTGGATAATCTCATAAATGATGTGAAAGTAAAAACAGGCGCTCCAAACTGCTGCTCGTCGTCAAAATTTACATCAGCGCATGAAAACTTGTGCGTTAACCGCTGTCCACACTAATTTAACACGTATCCGTTTACCAGCCTATCCACCCAGAAGGCCGTTTACAAAAATTTTCGTTGACTATTATTAACGGCGGGCGGGAACGCTTTCTTTTTTATGCGATTATAAATTCAAACGGATTCGTGTGGTTATTCATGTAGGTAACGTGAGGGCGCGTTTGCATGATACCGGGGGTCGGGGCGGCTTCCGCACCGGCGCGTGTTCACTCCAGTTGATGCCGCACTAGATTGAGAATTTCCTTCCGGTGAGAAAGTCGCAAATAAGTATCAGAACAACCACTCGGTTCGGCAGGAAATCGGCATCGTGGATAAGCACATGCGTGATTCTGGTCAATCCAAGATGGCGTCGACCGTTCATCTCCAGAGCCCGTCGTTTCTTTTGATCACTTGTTCTTGAAACGTCACAAATTAAGCCCAGTGGCTTTGGGGACAAAAGTTGGCGTCGTCATTAAGGTCATTGGACGAGAAGAAAACAGGCAAAGACGATAAACCAGTCGTCCCGGTATTCAACTCTCGCTGGTGCGACAAATCCTTTAAGAAAGAGGCTGAATTCTACCCAGTTGTTATACAAACAAATGTGGTAGATCCCCTTGGCGGATATTTAATGGGTAACCGGTCGTTTCACCTAAGCGTCGTTTCGCTAATGTCTTTAGTGGTTTCGTTTATAAAACGAAACGAGGGCGCTACATCATGGGAATAGGACTGAGTGGAGTCCAATTCGGTGCGTAATCATAGCTATAACAAAATTCTTAAATCTGATTGGCTATCAACTGCCCTGATTTCAGCCTTTATACCACTACATGAGAAATTTCTGCAATTTGATTGGCTTAGAGCAGTGGTATTTCAGCTTAATTTGAAATACCTACATGTGAAAATTACAAACCTTTTGCAGGTAGTAGTATAAACAAATAATAGCATGATTTGTACGTGATATTTGGCATAAATACCACTCATGATATTTCAAAATTGTCTCAAATTTCACTCGCCTAACGGCTCGTGAAATTACGTATAACAATTTTGAAATATCACTCGTGGTATTTATGCCAAATATCACTACTAATCATGCTATTACCTATACTAATGGACAGTTCACTGTAATAGGACAGTAAGCGTCATGCCTAAGTAATTGGACAGTACGCGCCATCACGTGCTCGCTTAAATGTCCTTTTTTCACTGCTGGCAAAAAAAAGGTCTTGGAATATCTTGTGTTTTGATTTTAAAAAAAGAGCCTTATATATCACAAATTTTGTTAAAGTTATGATTAATAGGTAACAAAACTTCGTGTCGTCCAATTCGGTCTGTAATCATACTCGTATGATTACATACCGAATTGGACTTCACCCAGTCCTGTTACCACTACTAATCATACGAGTGATTAAACAAAATCACGCGGTCGTTTAATCACGACTATGATTACGGACAAAATTGAACGACACGAAGTTTTGCTACCAATTAATTATATTTAACAAAATTTGTGATATTTTAGGCTTTCTTTAAAATAAATACACAGAAACGTCTGAGATTTTTTTTGCTAGCAGTGAAAAAAAAGCCATTTAAGTTCCGCGCGATGGCGTGTACATGACGGTTGATAGCCAATTAGATTTGAGAAATTTGTTATAGTTATGATTAATATGTATATAAGCCCTCTATTATATACCTCGCTCTTTCAGCCATGACACGTAAAAGTCCGATACACCTGATACATATTTGTTTTTCTTGTCTTTTAGAGCGGTTTTCACTTGACTGTCGAAAGTAATTGAGGAATTGGTTTGGTTTTGGTTTTAGACCTACTACATATTTGTTTAGTGTTTTTTTAACAGTCACCAAGAGATGCGAAATAAGTTAGGCAACTGATCTTGCCCCTTTTTGCAAAACGACTTTAGACGTAGTCACCGAACAGGTCGCGAAACGACTCGTAGGCGAAACGACCGTAAAACGTTTAATGAACGTTTACTTTCGCTGAGTTTCCTTTTTTGTCCCCGTTTTAGGAGGAAGCTGAATAGAGTCCAGTGGGCCTCGCTTCTTATTTTATTTTTATCAATTGTGTCTCTCTCAAATGACCAAAACGAACTTCATCCCGAACATCGTGAACGAATTCAACGAGCTATCATCCCAACCGAAGGATACTTTCTTGGTTCTGAGGATGGTAGGAATGTTTTGGGGAGGTTAAAAGAGGCTATGGGATCTCCGAATATCTCCGACGGCGGCCGAAACATTGTCGGCACTGTTCGGATAGGCGAAGCGCACATCTTAGTTATGGTTCAGTGCGTGCTGTCTTCGGCGGCAAACATTTACAACGAAAAAATTTTTAAAGAAAGCGGAGGTATGGAGGACAGTATTCTTCTGCAAAATACGAAGCTTTATATGTTTGGTGTTTTCTTTAACACAGCCACGCTGTTTCTACGACCCGAGTTTCGTTCAACCGCACTAAATTGTGGGCTTTTTTACGGTTATAACCGCCACACAAAGCTACTTATTATTGTCATGGCCTTCTTTGGGTTGACTGTGGCGTTTATTTTGAAATTCAGAGACAACATGTTTCACGTGATGGCAAATCAGCTGACCAATGTCGTCATGATCACGTCATCAGTGCTATTTCTGGACTTTCATCCTACGTTGAGATTTTTTCTAACCGCGCCAGTGGTGTTGTTAGCGATTTATATCTTCAATGCTGGCGGGAAAAATGAGGTGACTTACTTTAAGGAAAAGGGAGATACACTGGTTTGATTGAAAAACAACCGTGGGTGCACGCACTGACTAGTTCAATGGTTGTGAGCTGATTAAGGTACCCTCATTACAATCATATTGGAGACCATCAAATGGCTTTCAGGTGCAGGAAAACCTCGTTTATCCATGGAGCCTTTGCAGGAACGAACGCCATGGAAAAACGCTGGAAAATAGACACTTTCAACGGGAAATACCACTCTCATTTTTGTGGGCACAGGGTATGATTTCATCCACAAACTCAAAAGTTAGAACCATGTTGTACAACGTAATACATTGTACTATGGCACAGGAAAGGACTGATGAGTAAGTTTTATTTACATGGTCACACTTTAGGATTTCATCCATAGGCTTAAACGTTAGAACCACCTTATACAGCATAATAAACAGTACTTCAGGAAAGCACTGCTCAGTAGCTTTCATTTGAATGGTCACACTTTAGGATTTCATCCACAGACTGAAAAGTTAGAACCACTTTGTACAGCATAATAAACAGACCACAAAAGTTAGAAATGGTCCACTTTGTTTCATCCACAGACTGAAAAGTTAGAACCACTTTTTACAGCATAATAAACAGCACCACAGGAAAGTACTGCTCAGTAGCTTTCATTTGAATGGTCACACTTCAGGATTTCATCTACAGACTCAAAAGTTAGAACCACCTTGTACAGCATAATAAACAGTACCACAGGAAAGTACTGCTCAGTAGCTTTCATTTGAATGGTCACACTTTAGGATTTCATCCACAGACTGAAAAGTTAGAACCACTTTGTACAGCGTAATAAACAGTACCACAGGAAAGTACTGCTCAGTAGCTTTCATTTGAATGGTCACACTTTAGGATTTCATCCACAGACTGAAAAGTTAGAACCACCTTGTACAGCGTAATAAACAGTACCACAGGAAAGTACTGCTCAGTAGCTTTCATTTGAATGGTCACACTAGGATTTCATCTACAGATTGAAAAGTTAGAACCACCTTGTACATCATATTACACAGTACCACAAGAAAGTAACTTCCACTGCATATTCTACATGAAAACTATCTCGCACGGCAATATAAATGACCTTGCGATAGGAGTTTCATGGAGCCACCCTCTGTAATACAGTACCGGTATGTTAGGAAAGGACTACATATTTATTTTTGCTACGTTATGTGGTTATTCACAGACTTGCATTTTAGCTGTAAATTTTATTGCGCTCGGTCGTTTTGTTGAATAGTAAAATCTAAAATACGCAAACACCAAGAGCCATATATATATGGCTCTTGGCAAACACTCATCATTCATGCAGGGGAGATATATATTTATCGAAGGCCGCCTGTTCAAGCTTGAGTTGTCTTTGGTCCTGTCCACATGTATCCAAATCTCCGTTTTCAAAGAAAAAACGCGTCCACACAAAGCGTATGTGAGTCGTTTCGCCCGTCCACATTAAAAGCCTAAAACGATTAAAATATGGTTCATAGCATTCTTTACAGAGTATGCGTAATACTAGTAGTATATGATGTAGGACAAAATCTTATTCGAAACCTCCGTCGTGTTTGGTGCTCGAAAACGCCGATTACGCGTGGACGGAAGGCTAAAACGGAGAAAAAACTCCGTTTTCAAAATATGCGGATACTTGTGGACGGTAGCATTGTATGATATGATCTTGAAGATGAAACGCTTTCATGAAATTAGTTAATTAATGAGGAACATTTTATAATAACAGTGACGGTGATAAAGAATAATAACGCTTATTATAAGAGAGAGGTGTACACCACGAAATGAAATAAAAGTTTTAAGTGAATGTGTTGTGATTACTGGGTAACCATTATCTGATAATAATAACGTATCTCAGATAAATAAAGGTTAGCAAAATGCGTAATTGGCTGTTTAACTAGAGGACTAGAGGAAGAATTCCCTATGAGGCTGCGAGAGGAAGGCACTCCTTCTGACGGTTTTCCGCTATGAAGAAACCGTCAGTTACTTAGGCCAGTTTATCGGCGTGTGCGGAAATTTATTGCACAACATGTTACAGAAGGTACACAGATGACGACTCTTGATTTGCGCAATGACGCAGAGGTAGAACCAAAATTCATTTCATGAGTTGGAAGTCCGCGCATCCGTTTTAAATCTAGAGATGTTGGAAAGGCTACACACAAGTCAGACAAGTGAGACATCTTACCAAGATAAAATGACATTTATGCCTATTTCAGAGCAACCCCCAAAAGATGGCGCTGAGAACTCCCCGAGCTTGCGAGGAAGAAAGTTTACCTTAAGATGTTGAGGTGCGAAAAGCCAAGTTACGAGACTGGTTACCCGAATTTCAAGTTTCAGCGATCAGATTTTCTGTTTTAATTTGAGCGCTTCTGAATGTACAAACGGCGATGCTTTTAGCCAGACCACTTGGCAAATGCTGCGCGAAATCTGGGACGAGAAGTGTCAGCACGTTGCGTGCAAGATTGCAACTTATGCACGGATAATATAGGTCTGGAGCAAAAGATATGATGTAGATATAATGTCAGAGACCTTCAAATCTTTGTGCCTTGGGAGTCCTGCGATTCAGTACGTACGTTGAAGTTTAATTGAAGCGAGTAAAACAGCCAACTTTCCTTATAGTCTAGGATGAATGGTTATTTGTTTAGGGAGACAAAATTCGTGCAATCGAAAAGTTCATTCACTACCCTTGAACTTAAAACTTTATGTGAATACGACGCATTTAACATATAGACGCCATTCACAAACCATTCTCATTTTACGAGCTGATATCTCCAAGAGCCTTTACAGGGATGGACATATAAGTGTGATGAACAGCTGGGTGACTGCAGTTGTTAAAAGGGCCGTCATATGCTGAGATTGGTGTCGCACATGCGTGTATCAGCGCATGCAAGCGAAGCCTTTGCTCCAGGGCACCACTAAAGTAAAGCATATGCGTCGACAGTAAAGCGAGATAGAGTAGGGGGTGAGTGGGTAGGGCTGTGGTCAGCTGCTGCTACCGTAGAGTTACCAAGAATGCGAAGGGGAAGTTGGTTTAAAGTTGACGGAAAAAGAATGAGATTAACCGTGGCAGGATTAGCTCAGTCGGTAGAGCGTTTGACTGCAGAGCGGGAGGTCGCGGGTTCGATTCCCGGGGCCGGACCATTACTCAGAGTCTTAAAATGACTGAGAAATGAAGGTACTTCCCTTGCACTGCAAGGGGCGAGACCTTCGCGTGGCTCGGATGACCACGTAAAATGGCGGTCCCGTCTCCACTAGGAGACGTAAAATATAGTGTCCCCAATTAGCACTTTCGTGCTAAATACATTGACACTCAAATAAAAAGTGCAAGTGCAAGTGCATGAGAAGGGATATTGGTTTAATGGAGTGGGAAGTGAGACTGATTACTTTGGACTTCGTTCCCTAGTTCCGATTCAACCACAATCTTAGTGAGTTAGAAGTTAGATGAATAGAGTGCTGAGTTAGCAGCAGATTGCTGCTGGTGGTGGTGGTGGTGGTACAAGGGGAGCTTTGCGGAACGGAAACTGCGGCGGCAAACACCATGATAGACCTTGATCCCTCGTCAGTGGAAAAGCGCGTTCAATGTACTAGACTATGTTTTCGTATCCAACGATATTGGCGCCTGAACGTACATGGCTACTGAGAAAATACGTAACAGCACTTGAAAAAAAAAACCTTTTGAAGCGGATCAAGGTTAGGAACTGACGACTTTTGGACAAACGCAAAGATGTATTATATAAGACGTCACCTGAGTGCTCCTCAAGTACCTTAAAAGTGCGAGGAAACTATTTACGGTTTTCTTTCGCCATGAACGACTGAGACAAAGAAACAAATTGGAAATTGAAAAAGATAAGCTGTCTTAATCATCGTGCCTCTCGGACAAATGTGTTTTTTGTTGTTGTTGTTGATTTTCTATTATTATTTACTACTTATAAACCATTTCTTTGATGTTATGCGAAGGTGCCGCTTATGCAATTTGAAAAGTACTTAATCATAATTTTAGCAAGGTTATGACAAGGTTACCCGTGATATCGCCCATAGCAAAGTTTTTTAATGAGTCATCTCTTGAAATTTGGATAAGTCATCACGCGGGTCATTAACAACCGACGCGGCATCATGTCTAAAGCATTGTCGAGTGCTCGGATCCGTAAGATTCTACATTTCTTTTCCTTAGTTGTGGGCGACTCAGTTATGTCATCACTGAACGTGCATCTATTGCGTTCATTATTGACAAAACATGTGCTCCGCTGACTATAAATTAACGCAGTGATACAATGTACAATACCGGCCGAAATTGGAAGCCGTTCGCTGTATGTACTTAGTGGATGGCTCCATATTAATAATTGGTACGGCATTCAGTTAATTGCAAATAAGTTCATTCATTTCTGGGTGATTAATCTTGAACTATATGCTAAAAGGTTCTCCGGCTGACTTTACTCCTCTAGCCTTATGATTACAGATTTTTCGTGAAAAATAAAGAACAAAACAAGGACAAAAAAAGGACGAAACTTTGCTTTCGCACTTTTTTGAAAAAGTGACGGGAGGTGACGGGAGCTCGGACAGAGCCGTTGCTCTCCAAAGATATTTCTAATCATACAATACAGTAAATATTAAGTGATGTGTTTATACTAAATTTTGTTTTAGTATTAGTGCTTTCATCCAATTTTTTTCTCCGTTTGATTTTTATCTATGAATTAATTATTATAAGATAGATCATCTGAGGATGTGAAGAATTTAGTGGAATTCATCGCCGCCTCAATATTTTTAAGGGCTGCAGTTCGGGAAGTTGCTGTCTCAGGAAACATTTTGTGTGAAATACAGTGATCATTAATGTTTTGCAATATTTACCAAATATTCAAACACAACGCGACTTTTAAAATAATATTCGTAACTTTCATGTTTTCAGTCCTGCGACATTCAACAATATTAAAATTAAACCGCTCATTTTAAAGCGATTACTCAATGTTACCTCGGACATTTTATCTGAATTTTTGGAAAAACAAAGTCTATTTTTTTAATGGTCGGAAGGTTTTAGTATGCGTGAAAAGATTACGTGATATTTAGAGCAAGGTTTGTGTTAATGAATATACTGCGAGTATGAAATCTTTGAAGAGGAAACCTCATCATTTATGATGTCATTACTTCAACTCGTCATCCGGAAGATTGGCCTTTAACTAAAATATCTCTGATGTTGGATTAAATTTGTCTTTTTTATCACGTGAAATTGCTATATCCAAAATGGTTATATGCTGTTGTATTTTGTCGCCAAAATCAGTGTCTGTGAACCTTGGAACAGTCACAATAAATAGGGCCTCCGAAGGACTGGGCTGTAATAAATTTTGCAGCACAGTTTTGAGGAGCAGCGAGTTGAGCTCGATTATTTACGCGCAAATTTTCCCACTTAGACGTTGTCGTACACAACGAAATGACTTTCGAGCGTCTTCATTTGAACGCTGTGTTATTTATCACGACCGTTTTAGTTCCTTTATTAACAGAGGGCCTCGGAGACTGGGCTTACCATGGTCGTGACGATCCAAGCAAGTGGAAGTACCATTTTCCAGCTTGCAACGGCAGCCGACAGTCCCCAATAAACGTTGTACCAAAACACACGATTTTTGATGCAGGGCTAGACGACCTTGTTGTTAATTACGAGCCAAGCGTTTCAGCTGAGCTACAAAATAATGGACATACTGTTAAAGCCACGTTCAAGACCGGGATGTCCAATATCTCTGGCGCTGGACTTCTATCGACCTATCGAGCCCTCCAGGTGCATTTTCACTGGGGAAGCGATGACTCGTACGGTTCCGAGCACCAAGTTCTGGGGAAAAAATACCCATTGGAAATACACATTGTGCACTTTAATACTAAATATCCTAACGCCTCAGTAGCTATGAAAAAAGAGGATGGCTTAGCAGTACTTGGTACCTTCGCCGAGATTTCGGAGAAGGACAACCCTGTAATTGATCCTATAGTGAAAAAGTTAAACGCGACTCATTATAAATCAGATACTGCTTTTATTCCATCATTACAGCCTTTTTTATTTCTACCACATAATTCTGCTGCATTTTACACTTACAAGGGCTCGCTAACGACGCCGGGTTGTTACGAAAGTGTACAGTGGTTTTTGTTCAATCACACGTTCAAGATTTCTCATGATCAACTTGCTCACTTCAGGGAACTTTCTGAAAGGACACGCCAAAGTACAAAGGACGAACACTTGCAAGATAATTTTAGGCCTCCACAGTCTTTAAATGGAAGAGTAGTCACTCGAAGTTTCGGTAAGTATGATATTTGCTATTCTGTTAAATATTTCATGCATGAATTGTATTGTAAACAATATTGAGCACGGTTGTATACAATACATAACGGGGCAATTATTTATATGACATCTGGACAAACATACTCCAACAGAAATAGTGGAAGTTTTAGATTGGAATTAGACCCGTTTTTCCGTTTCATTTGTTTCTTACAAGGGGGAAAATGCCATTTTATTCTTTAACAAATTCTCTCGACTAAATCTTCTAGGAAATGTACAGAAATCAGTTTGGAGAATTTGTATGTGGATACTGGGGTTTATAGGGTTAATACAGAGTGAGATACCCAGATTTTAAACATTTTCAAGGCTACGCTCTAAGAAAAATGGGAGCCAAGTGCTCGCCTCTGAGCCTGTAAACTGAATCCAGGGTGTCCAGTCTATGATTTTTGCGAAAGAAAAACTATGATTTTCAAGTTGCCCAAGAGCAAAAGTAAGGCTAAAATGCACTGTCAGAGCAGGCTTTGGTACCTTCCCTTAATGACTGCGTTAACCGGGTTCTACACTACTATACCTGATTTTTCACATCCTCTGTTGTAGTCTATGGTTCCAGGTTTGAGATTTAAAAGAATCTAAAATTTTCCCCCAGGGAACCCTAAAAAACAGTTGTACAGTAGACCCTCCCTTAACTCTTTAAGCCCCAGTATCAACTTAAAAATTCTCCACACTGATCTCCATATGGTTCCTTAAAAAAACTAGTTGAGAGAATTTGTTTTAAGATCAAAGCATTTTCACTTAACTGATGATTTTATTAATTCTTATAACCTTTTCTCTTGATTATGTATGGTTGTTGTTAGGAGAAAATTGATGTTGGCCACTCTTGGGACTTGAGGGGTTAACGGACACCTCTGTAACATGACATGGACACCTAGAGTTGGTCCATGCCTTTCTTTACTCCTTTTATTTGAATCACCTTAAGGTAGACATCTCTTGAAGAAGGACGCCCAGTGCTGGTCCAAAAAGTATCCATGTTAGAAAGACTTGACTGTATCTATTCTTGATTTCAGTGAACTATAATAGTGGAGCCCTCGCACTCTGTTCAAAGCGTGCAGTTTTCAATGGATTTGATTGACATTGTTCATTGTTCTATTTTCAGAGCGTCCACCATTTCCATGTGGTAAGACATCCAGCACAACTCTGCAATGCTCCCTCCTTGCTGATGATAAATTTGTCTTTTATGAGGCCATAGTAAACATGTGCACTATACCAGCAACTGTTACTCTGGATGTGTCTCAACCTGACATTCAGGTCAATTATTCTAAGATTTTATACAGAGATACTAAACCGAGGAAAATTGGTAGGTAGTGTTATATTTGTCAATTTTATGTTTTACTTTTTAACTTTTGTTTGAAGTACGGTAGACAGTAGTTCCAGGGCTCGAAACAAGGTCCATCTTTTCTACAGTCCAGGAAAAGTGGATTTTTTTCTTCTCATACTTGCATGAATTCTGTACTTAGTCTACACCTCACACCTCTGAAGCTAGGAACTACATATTTAGAGAGCAGTGAACCTGTAATAATTGGAAAAATGTATGGTAATGAACTGCTTTTTTTTATCTTTTTCAGGAAATCTTAATTATGGATTTGCCCTGGAGATGCGACAGGCCAAACCTTCAACTTTACATGTTTCTGTAAGAGCTCATAAGCCTGATTTTTTTCAGGCTTTCTTTTTGCAACTGCATAAGTCGCATATTTAACTGAGATGATCTTCTCTACATTAATTATTACTACTACTATTATAATAATCATTATTATTCTTTGACATTGTTTCAAGACTGACCCAAGTTTTTCAAAGATGATCATAATATCTAATGATTTTGTAGGTCAATCAAATTCATCCCTTCCCTGATGGCCAGTCATTTGAGGCACTTTCAGGAGATTTTGATGGTGGAGTGTGTCAGCTTAGTAAGACATTTTTAATGTTTCTTTTACTAAGAAGTTAACAGAGCTTAGCACTCTCTGTTGTTCTTGTAAGGGATCCTTCTTCTGGGTTCGGAATTAAGAACATGCTCTAAATTAACATTTCTTGAAAGTTTTGTTTCTTAACAATATTCCCTGGCTAGTAATATGTGACAAATACGTAGGGCATGTTTAGCCAAGGTTCGATGGCATTCATAAAATGAATGAGTTCTTTGCAGCTTTACTGGCACATGATACAAAAAAACACCTTCCTGGGATGCAAATAACACAGTGGGATCTGGAAAAGAAAAGGAAATTACCTTTTTTTAATTAAATGATATAAAACTAGCTCCCTTTCTCTTGCCCCATTTGGACCAACAAGACTAGTTATTTTGTATTATTGACTGTTTTTGCTTTTTCATGGCCTTTATTAAACTCCATTTTTTTTCTATCTCCCTCATTTGTGACTTGATGAGTGATAGTAATTCTACTTATCTTTCAGGTCACTGCCTTGCACACTCATGCAACAAGCATTGGTGCGATGGGACAGCTATTGGCTACATGAATGACATGCTATACATTGGCTTTTCTTCCAAATTTCAAGATCTCACTGCAGCAAATCCCTCTGTTCATGTTAATTTCTATCACAATGAAACTGGGAAGTGGTATTTAACTGACTCAGAGACATTTACCGACAATGAGGAGAAGGTCATTCATCTTACGGGGATGATGGTGCAAGACACACCTGCTGCAAAACATCATAAAAGAGCTGTGAAGTCACAGTGGGAATATGTCAAGTTTAAAGCTCAAATTACTAAAATGGATGATAAAGTCAAATATCAGGTTAATTTCTTTGTGCTTTAACTTTCAAAGCAGTTTTTCACCCCCTGATTTCATAGTTGCTTTGTCCTCTTGGCTGTTTTCCAAGATTACATGTCAAAGCCCAATAATACGAACACTGAGGGTGCCATGGAAAGTGTCTTTGTGTCCGTATTAAGTTGGTTTAATTTATAGAAAATGTACAAGGGCTTTCTTTCCCCAGGGACAATGCAAACTGTCTTTAATAATGAGGTGTCAGTATTAAGTGGGTGTCCGTGAAGCAGGGCTTGAAGAATTTTGCTCGGGTTAAAACTGTGATCGTTTGCTTTCTTTTTTCTCTAAAATAGCATTTTATTGTTATTTTTTGTTCTAGCTTCTTGTGGTGCCTTCAGATGGTCTTTATTATCAAGTAATAGATGATGAATATACATTGGCTTGTGTTAAGCCTACCCCAGGTGACGTCTCTAATAATATTATCAATTCTTTATCAACCCTGCTAGCCCCAATATCCCACTTACAAATTCTACTCATCCTTATGCATTGCCTTAAAGAATTAGTAGAGAGAAGTTGTTAAAATATCAAAGCTTTTACCCTTTGGTTTTTTTATTCTCAAGACCTTTTCTGTTGATGTTGGCCACTCTTGGGATTTTAAGAGTTATGTAATGTTAGTTTAACTTTTGAACCTATGGATATTATGAAACTCTTTTAAAAGTGACCATTCAAATAAAGGCTACTGAGCAGTTCTTTCCTGTGTCATTGTTTGTTTTTTATATACTGTACAAGGTGGTTCTATTATTTTTGTTTCTATGGGATAAATCCTTAAGTGTGACCATTCAAATGAAAGCTATCGTGCATTACTTTCCCATGGTACTTTTTATTATGCTGTACAAGGTGATTCTAGCTTAACAGTCTGTGGATGAAATCCTTAAGTATGACCATTCAAATAAAAGCTACTGTGCAGCTTTTCATTTTGGTTTCAATGATATTCTGCCATTTTTAGTGACATGTACTGGTTAAAACAGCATCAATGATGGATGATTATTTTTCTCTCCTAAGCAGGTCGCCTCAGCAATGCCAGCAGGATTGCCATTGTGGCATCAGTGGTGGGTATGGTTCTGTTCCTTGCAGTTCTTACTGGAGTATTCCTCTACTGCAGACGAAGGCAGTTAACAGGCCGCCAGCCAACACTGGTGGATCAGATAGATATCCAGGATGACAACGACAAGTTATAAGGCAATTGATGCCCTTCTGCCGCATCTCAATTTGTCAGGTTTTCTCATGATAATCTTGATATCTGAATAGGCTATTTTCATAATGTCATTATTCTGCTACAGCCATTTAAGTCCTTTTTAATGAAAATTTCGTATCCCAGTGTGGCGTTACCAAATTAACTAATTTTCACTGAAAAACAAAACCTAGTAACTAAAGAGTCAGGGAGTTGTAGACAAATAATAACACCCTGCAGACAGTAAATCAGATGCTATGTCTGTGTAAGAAACTGCAAAACTGCCCTTTCACCCACCCCTCTCCTAAGCCCACTAAAAAACCACAAAAAGGCTTATACTGTCTTACCTTAGGGAAAAATGTTGGATTTGGGGGAGGGGTAGGTGGCAGGTTCTTAAAATCTTTTACTGATCCCAGTTGGTTCCTTACCTGTTACTGTGCTAGTAGTAGGCTATGTGCAGTCTCTCTTTTGCTCGAAATTCTGTGAGCGAGAGTGATATGTGAGTATAAAAGCGGCAAAGCCACGAGCAGCAAGTTGTGTGGGCACGAGACTGCTCATAGCCTATGCAGGTAAATGTTGAAAGAATATTATTTTTTATTGTTATATATTTATGTCTGGTGTATGTTTTGTATTACAGTCAACCCTCTCTAAGACGGACACCTTTGGGACCGGCACTAAGTGTCCATCTTAGAGAGGTGTCCATCTTATAGAGAGTCAAATAAAAGGAGTAAAGAAAGGCAGGGACCAACTCTAAGTGTCCATTTTACAGAGGTGTCTGTCTTATAGGGGTGTGCGTTAAGAGAGAGTTAACTGTATTAATTTTTTATGGCATTTGCTTTTTACTTCTAATGTTGATGTTATACAGAGTTCTGATCTCTGTTGACTGCTATTAAAGTTAGTGAATACTTATTTGACAATCTTCTTTTAAAAGGAAGCTTTGTCAAACAACACATATTGGTAGTTGTAAATCCTTTTGTCTCTGGTATAAATGGGATCTAAAGCCACACTGATTTGCGGCAGTAATTTTTTATTTTTTGCTCACTTTAGTTGTGGTTTTTGATTGGTCAGTAAAAAGAATTTTATTTTATTAATAAACAAGGTGGAAAAGTCCTTTAGGGCAAAAAAGAAAGAAAAAAGATGATAAAAGATTTCTGTGGCAAACAATTAACCTCAAGGGTGAAGAGTGAATGTGCTTAGATTAATATTAATGGCGCAGCAAATAAGAATTAATGTAATTGCTTTTAAGCAATCTAATTTTAAATCAACATGCCCTAATTAAAATTAGGCCATTTAAATAGTGGGTGTTTGTGACCAATTAATTTATTATTATGGCTGGCTGCAAAATTGATAAGAGCAACATTATTTAGCTGTTGCAAAGATTTGTAACCATTGAAAGGATGCTTCATAAAGCATCATTTTGTTCACTAGCAAGTTTTCCTGGACAAATGTCTCTGACAAATTTTTGTTAGCAAAAAAATGCTATCAATGCTACCTAGACAATTGTAAAGTTTATGCCCCATTAACATCAACAAAACTTCCGTAATTAAACTAGGTTTAGATTTGTATGTGCAGCCAAAAAGGGTATGGTTTTGAAACTCTTGGGTCTTCAACAAGGTATGGAAAATCCCTACTTAGCATCTTAAATAGGGTGTCCTTCTGGAGCAGATGAACGAGGTGTAAACCTTCATGGCGTGCGGTCTGCATGTGTGCTGGGATCTTTGTTTTTAACTGAAAAAGCTCATTGACTCCAACTTAAAGAAACAAAAGAATTCGTAGTGTTAAATCTTGGCTACAAAAAGGTTCTCTAGTCTTCAACAGGGTAACAAAATGAAGAGATCAGGATTTGAAAGCCTTGCCAGAACACTCCTACCCAAACTTCCCCGCAGCGTCCATGATTAGATAAGAGGTGTTGACATCTTGCCTTTTTTTTTGTCCACTATAACCAAGGAAAATTGCCTTGGAAAGCTTGCTAGGCTTAATTAGCTCAATGCAATATTTGGCACTGTACAATATTGTGCTTTTAGGTAATTTATTATAATTTATGCCCAAAGAAAAATTGAGGGACCTACAGAGCATAATTATTTTAAGATATGCCTTACGTTAGCCTGTTCCAGGCTCCGAGTTGTTCGGGCCAGCTGAATTGAGAAAGCGCTAACACGAAAATAAAACGGGAGGAGACTGGGGAGAGGAAAGGCGGCTTCCTTTTTCCTTCCCCCCCCGCCCCCCCCCCGCCAACTTTTCGCCCGCCTTTAACTTTCCCGTCTTCCCCACTATCTGAGAGCCTGGAGCAGGCTAGGATTAAAAATTCGTGCATATTAAAAATTAATGTGATGGTGGACTGAAAGTATTTTAGCCTTTGTGCGCTGAGTATAAATTGATTATTGTGCAAGGGTTGTAATTTTGCACTTATTTGCTGAAGGAAGAATTTACGTTTCCATTCACAGATAAGTTAATATTATTTTTTTAAGGATCATTGTGAAGGTGGAAGCAATTTTTGATCTAAGTTATTCATTCAAATTTACATTGACACTATACCGTACTTTAAATACTTTGCACATAATTGTGACATTGTTACACGGTATGTATAGGTGTAATGGGGAGAGCAAAAGAGCGCCCCAGTAGTGCTTTTATTTATTAAAAACATACTGAATAACCGAATGTTACTTCTAGTGTCACGTAATATGTCTGTTAAAGCAGTACATTTTATTTCCATAGTCTATAACCCGTTAAATATACCATAGAAAGGACGTCAAAATTTTCAGTCGAGACCTTTTTGTAATCATTTTAGGAACGCCTGTAAAATTTCATTGATCGATAATTTTTAAGTCTATCTAGTAGTATTGTATGTCGTCCAATTTTCGTTTCAGCGTTTGTTTCTTTTTGAAACTTAATGAGTTTCCTTGGTCGTTTATCAGTGTTAGTGTATCTTGTAGGGAAAATCCGTCAAAATCCCGCTCTCCTTCATTATTATTGAAATGAGACTGTTTTGCGGTATCTTTTGAATTATGTTCCTCATTTGGACACACCCAGGAAGGGATTCATCTTCCTGAAAGGTGTCGTTAAACTACCCGGTATTTTATGCAACTTTTCTGGCGACTTTTTCCGTGACACAAAAACAAGCAAATTCGCAACTTTCGTGTCTTGTAGCATTTTTATTGCAATAACGAAGTTTGTACTACATTTTGTAGAACGCGTACCTTCTACCATGTACTGCGTTGACGGATCTTCATACGACCACGAATTCATCACTTTTCAGACTCATCTCTTTTAGAGAACCAAGAGACGAAATTTCCGTTCACATCGTTCCTGAACGGACGGAGCCGTAAAGGTTTTGACCGTTCACAAAGTGAACATAGACTTTTATCGACTTTTAGGGTGCTTTCCAAAAGTCAGAACTGGCCGGCCCGCCGGATCATGGCCAGACCAGACATTTTGGCAATGAAATAGGCTTTTTCCAAGCGGTTTTGCTGAAAAACCATCTCCTTTGTGCATAATATTTAGGATTTGACTGATGTGGATAGTAAGTTTTGATTAAAAGTGAAATGCTCATTGCGATGGGAATGGGCTGGCCGGTCAGTCCTGACAAATGCAAAGCGCCGCTAGCTTCGTAGAGAGGCGATTGTTAGAACGTCAAGACAAGTAAATTTGGTGAGACCCCACCTCTTGAGAAGAAGTGCTTTCAACGCGGGCACAAGAAGGAAAAGAGTAGTATAGAAGTGACCGATCAGGCCTTTTCTTGCTGAGGAATCTCCTTAACGTGCACGGGAATACATTAACACCAATGACGTGAGAGCCTTTGAACTACCTAAAAATCGCACATGACCCTAATCATGAGGTAGAGCGGTTTTCGCTTGACTGTCGTAAAACCAAAACCAAAGTAAATACACTAGCCAACCAAAGGGCGCAGTAAAACCAAAACCAAACCAATTTCTCAATTACTTTCGACAGTCAAGTGAAAACCGCTCTAAAGGCAAAAGGATATGACGTCATCGGCCATAATGTATTCCTGCACAAGTGAATTTATTCCCCCGGCATTTTAATCATAGGGTAAGGACAAAAGGCCATGACTTGATCGGCATTAATGTATTTGTGCTTTTAAACGTTAACAGGCCATTTCCAAGTCGCCCCAAGCCTCTGGCGAGGCTAAGTGCAAAGTCGTTGTTATGAAAATGATTTTTCATTCTTATGCAAATGAAACTCATTTTCACAAGGAAGATTTTGCACTTAGGCTCATTTTGAAAGTGAGAGTTTTTTGGCACTCGAAAATGGCCTATCAGATTCCCCCACATTTCTTTCAGAAAAAAAAGGAAAAGGCTATGACGTCATCGACATTGATGTATTATTAACTTGTCATTAATTAAGAGCCATTTTCTGAGAAAATCGCGAATCGCAAGACACTCGTCAAAAAATCGAATTTTTTATTATTTTGCCAAAACATCCCTTTTAGTGACCTAATTTAAGGAAAAATAGTTTTGGGTTCAAACGATTCATTTTAAAGGAGAAATAAAAAAAAGTTTGAAAAATCGATTTTATTCCTGTTTTTCGAACAAAATACGGCAGGATGCAATGGCAACTTCGAGAGAAGGGTGAACGCGTAAGAAACATTCCCTGACACTGAAACTTCACCGAATTACTATTTTGTTCTTACTCTTGAAAACCTTAAAAGAAAATTTGAAAAACAATGTCTTATATTTTTATAATCGACAAGTCTAAAGAGATCATATTTGTGACGTTAGACACGCTAGAAAACGAAGGCCAACTTTGACTATTAAAAAAGGCCTCTGGTATATGCCGCTTGATCATAAAATCAATATAAAATGGAACCGTGGCTTTTGTACTAAGTTACTGGAAAGTTTTAGCTCTGGAAATCAAATACCATCCTGACACCAAACCAAGCGGTGAGAGCAATTGAATTGGGAAATTTATGCAAATTAGGCGGCTTGCGGACGGTTGTCAAACTAAAAAGAAAGGTTTTACATGAAAGGATTACTCACCATTGCTTGTAAC